TTATTTGTATTAATCGATAATGAATAGTTTACAATATACAGGAATAAGATTAATAAAAAGAAATTTCCTATAAACTAGAAAATATTTTTTTTATATGGCTTAATAAATGCGTTAGTTATGAAATACTTATATAACTAATATTAACATTATAGTGTCAATAAAGAAAGCTGCAAATTACGATTTGTGTACATTATTTTGTGGTTTTCATCTTATTTTTACATTTCTCAACCAGCAAACCAACTATTTCATCCAACTTACTATCAGGATCTTTTATAGCTTTATCGCCTACTGCAAGAAGTTTCTTAACATCGTCATCCGATACGTCAGCTAAATTCAATTCTTCTTCCAATACAGGTTGAACACGATAATATGTTACACCATCAAATTCAGCCAGCATTTTCATAGTGTTGTGATGATTTACTTGTTCCATGTCCATCAAAAGAGAAATTAAGGGACTTACCCATTGAACAATACCAGCATTATAATATTTTTCTAAAGGTTTTGGGTAATATCCAGTGCCAAGGGAAATAACAACGAATTTCGATTTTGGATACCTCTTTTTTGCTTCAAGATAAGTTTTAGCCGTTGGATTATTCATAAAAACGCCACCATCTATAAAATATTTACTAGATATATTTTTGGCAGGGAAAAAAGTAGGAGCAGCAGCACTTGCACGTATAACATCTTTCATTAAAGCATCTTCATGTTCAGAGGTGAAATTTGTAAAAAAGACGCGTTGACTATGGGAAATATTATAAGAAGCAATAAATACTTTCACACCGTTTACAGCATCTTTGAGTTTAAGTTCTTTAAAGTTTTCATTTAATAATTTTTCAAAACCAGATGGATCATATTTCGGACCAAAAGGATCATAAGATTTTAAAAATACTTCTAATTCATGTAAATGTTCCTTAAAAGATTTGTCATCATCGTCTTTTTTCGTGGTGGTTACGTCGGTGGTTACATCAGTGGTTACATGATCAGTTTTACTAATAGTTCCATCTTCGGTGTTACTCTTTGTTACACTAGTTTTACTTGTTGAAACACTTTCTTCTACTTTATTCTTAATTTCATCAATGGCTCTATTATCTTTATCAGGACTTTTTGGACTTAGAAAACCAACAAATCTTCCAACAAAACCTTTTTTTTCAGCTTTACCATCAGATTCATTATTATTTTTACTATCAGATTCAGTTATACTTGTAATATTCGTCTCGATTTTAAGAGTTTCTTTTCTAACAACATTAACGACGTTGGATAAATCAACACCTTTGAATACATTAGTGAAACTCTTCAATAATTTGTCAACATGTCCAAAAGGAGAATAATTAGGAAAGACGTCATTTCCATGTCCTTGAAAAAAATCCACCATAAATGAACCACTAAACTTCGGACGATCATTTTCAGGTACAGCTAAAGCTAAAACAAGTATAGAACCAGTTGAAGTTCCAGAAAGAATATCAAAAAAATCAGCACATCTCATGTCAGCATTAGGAATTTCTTTTTTTATTTCTTCAGTTACTCTTCTTTCAATTTCTGCGAGTATTTTGGCAGGAATTATACCTCGAATTCCGCCACCGTCAATTGAAAGAATAAATTTTGTATCTGTCTCTTCCATAATCTTTTTTACGTTATGTTAAAATACAATAAATTTTATAACTTATAATGCTGTAATAAATTTTTTGTTATTAAGTTTATACAAGATAATTTTGATTTACCTGGAATTATTAATTTCTCGACCGTTTTAAAAATTTCCTGTTAAATTATTGACGACTGTAATAAACAAGTTACTAAAACGAAGGCTGAATTCAAATTACGTAGTTAGAATTAACAATTAAAAGATTAGAGATGTGAATAATCAAAAATTAATTTAAAAATAAGTTGTAATAAGACGAACCTTTTTTGCTTATAAAATTTTCGATATTTTTGAATAAAAGATTTTTTTTTTTAAGAAATTCGTTAAACAACTCTTTTTATATCATAATTCATTGAATTATTCTATCAGATTGTTAATTCATAATGTAAATCAAACAAAGGCATAACATAATGTACATGTGATTTTTTTTGATAATACGTACGTACGTACCGGTTTATCCTTTTTCTGAGAATTATATTGTTATAAATTTAGTAATTATTTTTATAAATTAAATTTTCTGTACGTAGGTATGTACTGGTAAGTTTCATAACAAATTAAAGTTATCCATCTATCGTTATAAATATTTGGCAATATTGATTGTATTTTTACATATTTAGTAAAATGGTATTGGGTATTTGTGTAAAGTGGCGTGCATATTAATCGTGTTACGTATCGTAGTGCAGCCATTTATTTTTGTAAACTCGAAATTTTGATTATGTATTCCCTCCGATAAATCGACATTTGACATTTGATGCACCAAATTTTGCATACTACGCTTTCAGGTTTTAATCTGGTTTGTTTTACATGCGCAAGCAAGTAAATTCCGGATTCGATATTGCTAGATTACGTATCGATCTTGATGTGTGTATGGTCATTTCTTCTCAAGGATGATCATTTAAATATCTATATGTCTAAAAATGGTTAGATTGATGATCTGAACGTGCAAAGCAGGGAGGCAGTGTCGTACATTTTGATTGTCAAACTCTTAATAGTATGCAAAAAATAATATCTTTTTCAACGCCAGCTGTGTACAACATTGGGCATCGGCACTAACTTTGAGTCCCAGTATTCTCATAAAAAAAATCACGTGTTTTCATTTAAACATCAAATTTTGTCAAAATGAATATGTTGAGATAAATAAAATTATTAATAGAGTAAAGAAGCGGACTCTCCCCCAACTGTTACACTTTTGAAAATCTTATCATATGGTTATGGTTATACTTAAAACTTAGACTTATCATATAAAAAATATTATTAATCTAGGTTCTAAAAGTATTGATGAGACCCTTGGGTCGATAGTGCAGTGGTTAGTACTCCGGGTCACAATCGCAAGGTCGCGGTTTCGAATCCAACTGGGGGATAAGGCTCTGTCAGGACCGCGATTGAAAGATCTATGAGGATTCAGAATAAATTAAGATCCATACGTACGTGAGAATGCAGTCCGCCGGCATAGCCACGGGGTCGGAGACGACCAGAAAAGGCGCAATCCTGTTTAAGGATGAATGCATTAGACATAAAAGGTTAAATATAACAGGATTAGGCCGTGGCGATTAGGAACTGCAGACCTCGAAGTCAGGGTCCTACACCGTGGGACCAGGGACCCGGGATATAACTAAGGTGATAGACTTACCACCACGTGACACGGAGGGGCTAACACCACAGGGACGTACGCAGCAACGAAGTATACTAACTTGCAGGGACCGAACATTCAAGGCACGGCCGTCCGTTGATCTCCACAGAATGATAACTCTGGCCCTAACGATGTGACAGATCCTAAGGTGTCTAAGGACCTTCAGGATAGCGTTGGGAGGTAAAAATAAAAAAAAAGTATTGATGAGTATTAATTGGTTTGTTCTTATTTGAGACAGAGCGGTATGTGTAAGGCCTGCATGTAGTATAAGCTTTGATTCAAGATTTGCATGATCCTTTTTATAATTTACGCGAGTGGAGTTCAAGAAAAAAATTTTTTAACAAAAATACATTAATAAATTTTAACTTTCGTATAAGCATGAAAACTTAAATCTCATAATCATTACTGTACCCCTTAATTGTACAGATTTTATGCAGCTGATCCGGCCAGTACTACGGTATAGATTATTATTAGATAGCACTATGTTAGAATTTCAACCTATCAACAATCTGCATCATCAATAAAAGGTGATCAATTATTTAACTGCAGAATTTGCAGCAAATCATAGGTACACACGTTCGTACATACGTACGTACGTGCTACTGTGATTGTGATTTTTAAATTATTGATAGCAGAAAACTCTGAGATTCTAAATTATATCTATAATATATACTAGAAAATGCTGATCATATAAGATCGACAAATGTTATAGTAAAAACATAAAATTCAAAATGCAATAACTCTAACCAGGAAACAATATTACATCAAGTTTGTTTTTAAATACTCTTTAAAGTAATAACACTTATTATTATTATTATTATTATTATTATTATTATTTAGAGCATAGTAGAAGACTCTCAGTTTCAATACAAAGTTTTCGTTTTTAATGCTTTTTAATAAAAACATCAAAAGCGTAACACTGATGTTGTATCACACAATAAATCTCATAAACGGTTTCGGTTTTTTACCTGTTGATAAAAAATACCAAATAACTTGCAAGAAAAAAAAAAAAAAGCGCTATTACTTTAAAGAGTATTTTAAAACAAACTCGAAGCATAATTTTATCTATGTGGGTTTGCTGGTCCGAGAGTTATTGTGACTTGAATTTTATTATATATTTTACTATCACTACCATTGATCTATAAAAATCTTTACTATTAGAATTTATCATATGATCTGCACTATACGTACTATTAAACCTAGGTGCCGCACAAAAAATGCGCGGATGATCCTCGATTTTGATTGGCTAACGGCCAGTGATCTTCAAAATTTTGGCCCGCATTACAAAATTGTTTACTAAATTCCGGCCGGATTTGACTTTTTAATTTTTTCATTATAAAAATAGAAATTTTTAAAAAATAAGCACGCATTATTGTAAAATTGGCCCAGGAACAATTTTCACTTAATAAGCGGCTGCGAGTTCATTAGTTAAATTATGAGTAATTCCGGCCTAATTTTTTGATCATCGCTTTTAGCAATTAGAACCAAGGATCATCTGTGCGGCACCTAGCATATGGACGGATTTTGTGATTTTGGTGATGTTTACAAATAGGATCTATGCAATCAGATAAATAAAAATTGTGATTATTTTGAATTTGTATTACACTAAATTCCTGTTTATTGGTTGATATATTTAGCACAGTAGTCATAATAGTAAAAGTATTGTTTCTTTTTACAAAGCCGTGGGTTTTGTTTTTTAATATTATGGCTTAAAAATCTTATATTTATGTTCAACAAGATCCCAAAATAGTTTTTCAAGATTCTGAATAGGCATAACTTTCACTAGTAACAACGCCAAAAGGTTCGCAGTGTAAGAATACAGGACAATATGTAGTTTGTGACAAGGATGATCTAAAAGAAAAGTTTTGCAAACTGACACTAAAGCTTCTGCCAAAAGTTATGCAAGGTCAAGCTGCTTCAAAGTTAAAGTTTATACTTAAATTAGATGACCAATTATGTCACAAACATTATAGTGAGTTTGTGTTATTTGACAGAAATTTTTCAAGCCTATATAAAAGACAAAAATATAAATTAAACTTAACTTATGATTTTTATGAAAAGTATTTTGAAGAAGTAAATTCTAATGAACAACATAATCTTGGTAATTGTTATCAAAGTGGTGTAGATATCTACAAAGATGAAAAGAAGGTATTTGAATAGTATTTAGAATCTGCTAGAGATAGTAATTCCAATAGACAATTAAGTATAGGGAAATGCTATCAAAATGGTATCAGTGTCCCTAAAGATGAAAAAAAATATTTGAATACTACTTGAAATCTGCCAGTAGTGAAAATTTAGATAGACAATTAAATGTTGGAGTTTGTTATCAAAATGGCATTGGTATTTCTAAAGATGTGAAGAAAGCATTTGAATAGTACTTGAAATCTGCTAGTAGTGGAAATTCTGATAGGCAATTAAATGTTAGAATTTGTTACCAAAACAGTATAAGTATTTTGAAAGATAAAAAAAAGTATTTGAATAGCATATGAAATCTGCTAATAGTGAAATTCGAATAGTCAATTAAATGGTGAGAATTATTATCAAGATAGCATAGACATTTCTAAAGATAAAAAGAAAGTATTTGAATAGTACTTAAAATCTGCTAGAGATAGAAATTCAGATGGGCAATTAAATATTGAAAATTGTTATTAAAATAGTATAGGTATCTTTAAAGATAAAAAAGAGGCATCTGAATAGTATATAAAGTCTGCTAATAGCAAAAATTTAGACAAAAAATTAGAGATTTCTAATAAAAAAAATATTAGAAAGTGGTCTCTTTCAAGTCTTTAATCATTATCAGAGCAAAATAGCTGACTTTCTGATTTTGGAAAAAATTTTAAAAAAGAACTTTTAGCATTAATCATACAACATCAGTTAACTGCAAAAAATAAATCACCAATTGTTCATATAAATAAAGTTCAATTGGGCTTTAATAATAAAACAATTAGCTTAAATTACCAACTATTTAAAAACAAATTAGAACTTTCTAAGCTAGATACCACTATTCAAGCATGTGATAAGTCCTTGTTATCTTAAGATAGTTATTATTGATTGGCTATTGTGAAGCTCTAGCTTATACAAGAATATTATATTTCTGCACAAAGTATTGAAATAACAAATTAAATAAATAAGACAATGAAAATCAGACCTTTTAGTATTGATAGTCAAAGTAGCCAAAGTAGTTAACCTCATGTTTATAATGAAGAAATAGTAGTTGACCAATATGAAATTAGAAATAGTGTTTACAGATTAATAAAATCTATCTTAACTATTCTTTTTTCTATTTGAAAACAATTTTCTTTATCTATTTTTGTTCTAAAAAATATAATTAAACTAAATCTTAAAGGTGATA